TTCCTCTGGAAGAGGATTCCTTTGCAGATCATATTGAGCCTGTGGAGCAGAGATAGATGCAGGTTGGTCTTACGGTCTGACTGACACCTTCAGGTATCTTCACCAGAGCACTGTTCACTTAAACTGAATCCAAATCCAAACATTCTGTGCGATATCTTGACCAAGCTGGTCTTGACTAGGTGTGTTATTTGACCATCTTAGTCAAATGTTTAAATAAAAATAAATAATCTGTTTTTTAATTTAACAACATTTTTTTTAATTCAAACTAAAGGGAAATCGAACCTGCTTGTTGGTATTTGAGGCACTATCACTTGTGGTGATGCAGTCTGTTGTGCTGCTGACTCTGTGCTCTTCTTCCCTTTCTTTTTATCCGTCTTGACACCATCTTCTGACTTTCTGCCTTTTTTTGGCGTTATAGGACCCTCTGTGTAGGCACTACGTCCCCTACTAGCCCTCCCTCTGCTGCCCACCACTCTTCCTTCGCTCTCCTCATCTGAGACGGTCTCTTGTCCCGGGGGCGAATGGGCCTCACAGAATGCCGTTTTCTTAACAGAGAACGTGGTCCCATTGACGTTCGTCTCTCGCACAGGATCTATCTTCATGAACAGGCCAGCGCGCTGAGCACATGTGACGTGAAACGCAGTGTAACAGTTGGCCTTGTGGCACTGAATTGATGCGCCACGGCCTTTCTGCTTGCACAAGTAGCAGGTCAGTTTCCAGCGTGCTGGGGGAATGTTACTGACCCCTTCCACCGGTTCTAGAAAAACAGTGTTGGCAAAGCAGACTTCAGGGATCCAGATGGCACAGACTACATGTGCCCAGCGTCCGTCACTTGTTTGCTTGAAGGCGCCGCCACGGTTCGGACACAGAACACAGTCGATGGGTTTCTGAGGGGACTGGAGGCAGCAGCGGCACAGCCACTGGCCTTCTGGGATGTAGGGCACTCCGTAACACTCCTGGTGCACGGCCAGGTTGCAGGAGTCGCAGAAGAGGATGACGTTGCTGTTGAGGCACTCATCATCCAGGCACACGCAGCAGAAGGCATCGTCGTCTATAGCGCTCTGAGAAGGCACACGGCTGCGGGCTTCCCGGTACGCCTCTTCCTCCAGCCGGTCCACTAGCAGCTCAAAGGTGTCTGGTGAGACAGCTGAGTAACCCTCCGATGTCCGGCCGGCGTTTACCATCTCCAGCCAGGCAGTGTCCTCTTCGTCCATGTCATATTCTGCCTCGGCTTCCTGCTCCTCAGCTAAGCGTTCAATATAGCGGTAATATGCGGTAGGCAGAGGGGGGGCCTCGACCGGTGTGAAGGTTTCTAGAACATGAAACTTAGGTTCAGGGAGGGTCATGTGGTGATGGTGTGATGCGTTTAACTTTTCCGGTGTTTGTGGGTGAGAGTTGGGGCAGTGGTTCTTGGAAGGTGGTGGCGACTTTACAGGAGGAGCTTTGGGTTCTTTCCTGCGGCCTCGGGGTGTGACGGGTTTGCGGACTGTTGGGGCACTGCCGGTGGGAGATGACGACTGCTCACTGTTCTCCTTGTTGCTGTTACACTCGCTAATGTCCTGAGCCATCATCTCGTCTTCAGTAATGACCTCTAACGGCTCCACAATAGAAATGCGGTGAAGCCTACCATCCAGTTCCACCTCCACCACCTTCTGTGCCTGAGCATAAGTCAGGGTTTCTCTGCTCGGAGACGCTTTGAGGCTATAAGGGGACGGGGATCGCTGGCGGGCACCCCCACGCCCACCAGCGGTCCCGTTGGACTTCTTGACATCAGCACCGCCTGCTGCAGCCACCTGGCCTTTTCGACGTGGCTTCCTCATAGGCCACCAATCACAGTTTCCCTCCTGTTGGTTAAAAAAAAAAGTTAAATAATTTAATAATACTGCATCGTATGATTGTAAGTAATAGTCATTATACAAAACATACTTTATATTCTGTACAAGAATGAGCATTAGATGGTGCTACAGTAGAATATGAAAACGCTATTCCATTACTCCACCTATTAAGAATAGTCCTCTATAATGATACATTCATAAAGCACACTGCCCGGGCTGCAGTGTTTTGCTGTTATTGTTTGCGTTTGTCATCTAAATTAATTCTATAGCAATAATCACTTAAACTTATCAAGCATTTATTTACACGACTACAGAAAATCTAATGCCATTGCTACAACAATGGTATAAAATTAAGGCCTAAAGAGTTTGCACTTCTTGACATATTAATTCATTCAAAACATCTCTGTCACTTGTTGCATTTTGTTATTATGTGCTATAGGCAGGGATACGGTCAGTATCACCTGTAGTGTGAAACATTCCTTCACACTCAATCCAAGAGGCTAAATGCACAGAGCAGTGTATTAACAGCTGACCAAGTGTCAGGCTGAGCGTTATTCTTCACTGTCAGTACACGTACGGCCAGTAAAGAAGATTTACATGCAGATTATTCTCGATTTTATCTCATAAACTGCTGGCAACTACTAACAGGACTACCCAAAACACCGCAAACACATCCAATCAGCTTTCAGGAGAGTTTGACTGATCCGCTCCAGAGCCAATCAGCGTTCAGAAAACCACAGGCTCAACTGATCAGTGTCCTTATTTCAGGAGTAAAATGTCAGCCATATTTACAGTTTTAAAACACTGTTAAAAACTCGTCCTCCGTTTAAATCTTAACAATAGTTTTACAATGTTTTAATGTCGCTTCATCTGTTCAAGTCGAGACGAGACAGGCACAGTATTCCGGCACACTGACACAAGAGTACGGAGACAAGTAGTTAAAGCTTGCAGCTAGCTGAGCTGCTAACTTTCACAGATTGGTAGAAGCAACGCGAGCTGGTTTTTATTTTCTAACGCTGACAAGGCGCAAAACAAGTTACACGGTTGCTGGCTAAAATGAAGTTAAAAGTTCAGAGCCACTCTATAAAAGAGACACAGTAGGTAGCAGACTTACCTATTATGGCAACTGGCTGATACAGGTATCTCGACAGCCGGCGGTCTGCAGCCGCCTCTACAGTAATGGTTTCCTAGCCAGCCGCCTTACCTTCTGTAGTGTCGAAGCTAACAGCTACCGTCAGCCAGCTACAGTTTGCTGGTACAGCCGGTGTATTTCGCTAATTTATAACGCTTCCGTTTCTTCACAACACGGCAGGCAGTCAATCCAGAAAGTTTACTGAGAACACAAGTGATATATCTGCATTAATAATCTAAGAAACGGCTTATTGTTGTCCCAGTTTTGTGAGAAGGAGAAATACTAGTCTCCCTCGGCTAGCTGGCTAGCTATTTGGGACTAGAGCATCTAGACTTTGTGCTAAATCTAAATTAAACACAAGACTTCCGGATGTTTCTTTCAAAATAAAATCCGTCTTGTAGTATACTTTGCTTCAATGTTTCGTCAATAATACAACGGAAAATACTTACATTTTATTTAATTACGCCCAGTTGTTTTTTTTTTTCCTGATAACCTGTTTCCAGTGTTTAATTGCCCTACAGTGTACGACAAAGTGCTGTTATTACCAATACACACAGAGTAGAGCCAGGGAAATGTCGGGTAAGCAGTATTATAAAGGGCGGCCTACTCTTTCCACACTTTTTATTTGCCGATTTTGTATTGTAATACACTTTAATGCACACTTATTTAATATATTCTCGTTTGATTTTGATTTCTTTTTAATATATTTTTCCTATGTTGTCTTACTATTTCCTGCTGTAATACGCTATTTTCTGGGTATGATTGGTCTTCTTTAATCCAATCATGGTGCATAAGGTTCAGTGTTCTAAGTTATCGGACTTGTTTTGAAATGATGCAATCATTTTAAGACTTACATGAACTTTTCTTGTATCTTTCTATGGGGCATTCTAGAAGAAATAACTTTAATACAATGTGTTGCTTTTGAAGCTAAACTTACAATCTTGATCAGTAAAATAGTTTGGCAAAATTATTTGTCATTCTATTCGTATGTTGTATGCTTTTAATTTAACTGCAAAATGCCTCACTTCCGCTTTTCTGACATCATGTGGGCTACCTTGATAACAGAAGATTGATATAAGTTTAGCCCGCCCCCTTAACGTCACCAGCCATGATTTTCGCGCGCAAGCTACTTAACAGGGTCAATGACAGATCACTGTTTGTGTTGATCTTAGTACAGCTCTATGCCTTCTGAATGTGTAGTTTTTAATACAAACCAGGCCTTTCAAAACAGTGGACGTAACCTCATACTTGTACACAAAACGTGTGCATGCATGTTCATGAATTGAATTGTTTATTCTATGCATACACACATGCACACACCCTCACATACTAGGCACACACAGAGACAACAAGCAGCAGGCCATTATATTTGCATCACATAGTTTAAATGAGTCTCAGAGGGCAGCAAGATGTGCAGTGCAGGATTCCAAAGTCAAATAGATGATACAAAATACATAAATAAAAAAAATACACTGTATCTTAACAATGTATCAGGGCAAGGCTGGATAACCAACCGAGCAAAATGACCCCCCAGGAGCCCCCAAATCCCCAGGATTTCACTGTACTTAAACAGAATAAGCTTAAGCCTCATGAATGACAATGTGCGATATTATACATCACAGAGCAGCCTCTAAATGTACCAGCGCAGTCAAGTACACATTCAAAAGCTGGTATATACCGGATAGACCCACAAGGGTTGGGCTTAAAATTGTATGCAAGTGTGAAGTTATGATACAGCATGGCAGAAATTACAGTGTCTGATCACTTTGTGGATCAGGTATGGATCCACAGATTGTCCAGTGGAACATATTGCATATTCACACAGTCATTTCAATTTTTTGGGGGCCTTTGTCAGTCAGAATTGATCCCTTGCTGATAACTTGAAGTAACCAAATATAAAGATGTGATTTTCACCTCAAGATTGCACTAATTTTAATGACAATAGATTTTAGTTTTGAATTACACCTGAATATTTCAGTGTAATGGGCAGTAACGTTTACAATTTGCTGCATAAACAAAACTTCATACACATCTTGTCTTATTGTTTAATTGTAAAACAACATTACAGTAAATCTTACAGTAAACCCTGTGACTCTGGGTCACAGACAATCCGCTCATAAGGAATGTGTAACATAAACAGCAATTTACACTGACAAAACAATTGCACAAAAAAAAAAAAGTATGACAGTTTTCACTCTCTGAATACTGATTCAAAATCTAAACATATCAAGGATAAAAGAACTCGAGTGAATCCATGGTTGAAATATACAAGGGCACCATTGGCAGTATGCTGTGTAGGTTGGGGCATCAGTAGTTACAAGACATTCATCAGGTCACGGAGACATAGTCAGGGTGTTTTTTCTCTTGGAGTCCCGCCGTGGGAATGGGACAAAGCTTTTCACCTCTCTGAAACATAACCCTGTCGGCAAAAGGGAAAACCATTTGTTTTCTACACGCGCAGTATGTCCATGACTCCAATAATAATTTAAACAGAAAGCCATTGAAGGCATATTGCATGGCTTTTATAATATTAATTATTAATTACCACATTAACAGAAGCCCTGCAACAGAATGTTTGTGTAGCTGTAGATCACCTAACACGGCCAACACAGTAAACACTAAAACATGATAATAATACGCTATTCACTATAAGACAAGTGTATTATTTCTGTTTATCTATTTATATTTATATAAAGGTCCAGTGTGCAACATTTAGGAAGATCTGTTGTCAGAATTGAATATAATATTCATAGGTATGTTTTCATTAGTTTACAATCACCTGAATATAGGAATCACTGGATTTTTGCTACCTTAGAATGAGACATTTTTTATCTAAAGACGCCGCTGGTTGTCTTCCTTGTTTCTACAGTAGCCCAGAACGGACAAACAGAACACTGACTGTAGATAGCGCCTTTCAAGTTTTTTGCGAGTTTCGTGGCCACCATAGTTTCTGCTACACACTTTACAGCCCAGTCTTATTCTCAGGTTGTCAAATGTTCAGTTAGCTGCAATCTGCAACTTCACCGCTACATGGCACTAAATCCTGCACACTGGTCCTTTAACAGCTTTGGAAAAATGTCTTTCTACATTCTGTGAAAGGTATTTTATTTGAGTAATCTGTAAAACAACTGTAAACTAATGAGACCATAACTGATACAATAACACATACATTCTGTGAATGACATGTACATAAGTATTCTTTATTTTATTTAAAAAATGTTTGTGCATTGTCTTTCACTTACGCTTCCACTCATCCAGGGACAGTGCGGCGTTGTCATGGCTGTCATCGTATGTCGCAGGCTCAGGAAAGTCGTCTGGCTCCCTCAGGCTGTCAAAATATGGGTGCTCGAGGGCTAGTTCGGCTGTGGGCCTCTCGTCTCCGTCCAGAACAAGCATCTTCTCCAGCAGGTCGATACCTGCAAACAGCAAGCAGTACAGAATTTGATCAAACATAAAAAACATCCAATTATACATGTCAGATGATATATACATTTTTTTTATTGACATTAGCCACATGGAAGGTTGCCACAAGCGTTTCAGAACCTTAAAGTACAAGTCCAAAGGAAACATTGTACATTTGTTTTGTACCTATTTCATGGAACAAACAGAAATTCCTCTGCTGCCGATATTAAATGTACCACTTACAGAGAGAGTTCCTCCTGCTCTTGACCTACCTGACACTGGTTGTCTATAACAGTAAGTGGAAAAGCTTTCATGAACACATTACAAGGAGAGTTAGTGTGGTGTTACGTAATTCAGAGACAGAAAATGAACATTATAAGCAAACAGATGATTACTTTAACAACAAACGTTTGATCCACAACTGCCAGTGGTGGACCAGCACTGTGGACAGTAGTAAAAGACTGTACTCGTATTGAACACGTCTCAAACGTGATAAAAATCTAAAAATAAAAATTTGCGGACCAGTCGAGCCTAATAAAAAGGCTGTGGCTAAACTCACCCTTTGCACTGGCTCTGGGGAACAACGTTGAGAAGTCTTTTCTGGGATAGTGAGGAAGACCCTTAATATAATTTTTGGCCTGTAAAAGAGAAGTAAAATTAAGCATCAAAAACAAAATTTGATACGCAAATATAAATCACATCTATTTTGTAGACATACAATATTTTGTATTTCATCTTTGGGTGTGGACTAAAATGATAGCCATCACATCTCCACAGATCAACAAACAAACTGTGTCTTAAGGTATCACTACTGCCTGTATAAATAAATATAAACTCACAGTAAACTACTTTATATTCTTCGCAGACTTCACTTGATTGTTAGCTTAGCTTATGTATGAATGACAAATCTTGAGTCTGCAGATGATAGCAGTAGAAACAATACCACTGAGCATAAGTAAACCAAGGTGTCTTTAGTCCAAATTATTATATACAGTATTGAGCCATGGAGTGGCTTATCAGCAAAGATAAGGTTATAATAAAACATGTAAAAATTTTGTTCAGATTCAATGAAAAACAAATTTCAGTACATTTCAAATAGTATTTAATAGTATTTTTCAATAACATTCAACACTACACAGTAAAACCATGACTGATCCGGCTTCTTAGTAACTCTAGCCAGAGGTTAACTCCTAGAATGCAACGTATATATGAGTAAAATAAAGTTTGAAAACAGAGCTTCCAAAAAGCCCATTAAAAAAACAACACTGAAATCACCTTGCTTATGAAAATGAAAAATGCAATATAACATTTAATTAAACCTCTGATGCACAGAAATCCACATTAACGTTTTGAGCTTAGTGCACATTTCATTGCTTTCATTATAGTGTGACAATAATAAATACTATCAGTTATCATTCAGTCCTTGTTTCTGGGTTTTGTAAGAAATTACTGAATAGGTAAAGAATTAAACTTCAGTGTGACTGAATGGTAAAGACACGTGTTTAAGCTGTTACCCTTCCTACAATATGTTTTTTTGTTGATGTCCTCACTTTTCCTCTAGTGCCACCCTCAGGACAAATTTTATATTTTTATTCCCACTACAGGTAAAGCTTAAGGAATGGCAGAAACTTTAGTGTGTTGTTTTTGTTGGATGTAATGTATACTGCAACCTCTGAGGGCTGCTGTGGTACTTGTCCTACCTCTAGGCTGTCCAGCTTCTGTATGAACTCTGCTCCAGGTACTCCAGTCACTTTCAAGATCTGAGTCAGCTGGTCCATGTCTGGTAGTAAAGGTGTTACAATCAAGGATTCTTAAACCTGGGATGTCCTGGTGGTTCAATACGTAAGCGTACAATGTGGAAAGTTGGGTTTCCAAGCAGGTCCATAAAACAGAGTAATAAAGGAATCTGAAAAACACTTGATGAAACGGTGACAGCTTTATTTGCTAGAGGGTGCTGTAAATCAGTCAAGTGCATCAGGTGCAAAAAAGAACATAAAAAGCAAATATAAAACATGTAATATAGTGGATGCATTGGATGCTGCCTGAGGAAATGTGTGGCTTTTGCACCATGTAATATACTTAAATTGCCTTTTGTGTTCCATTCTGCACCTGATTTACAGTGCCCATCATCACATAAAACTGTCACTGTTTAATCAAGTGGCTTTCAATCACCTTTATTATCAAAATGATTTAATAAAGTGATGTTAAATCTTGATGGGGATCAGTACATTTCCATTTTTGTATACTGAAACTGATATGTCATTATTTTACATTGCACAGGCTTCAAAAGTTACAAGTCTAGTAAACGGACAAAGCAGATGAAAGGATACAGTCTTTCCCTTTGAAAAGGGTTCTTCCGTTGATCATTTCTGCCATAATACAGCCCACAGACCAGATGTCCACTACAATAAACACCAAAGACAAAAACATCAGTAAGAAATCAAGCAGAATACACACCACCAAGAGTGGTTTAAGTTTAGCTCAGTGCAGTAGAAATGAGGAAGGTGGCATTTATAACCCGAAGCAAAGTTCCTATTCACAGAAGAGAGTGAAGCATGTATTGCTCTGTTTACATTGAGGAATACTTGGTGAGTAATACAATCCCATGAAGGGTGTAAACTTGCCAGTGCTGCTTTCTGTGCTACATTCTCTTTGTGAACAGAAATGCTGTTTACAAAATGAAAAACCACTATCTCCTACATAGCACATAGTCAGTAACATAAATCCTGGTAAAGTCAGTTTCATTGCAGTGACAGCTCTGGCATTGAGTCTCCGCACCAGGCAGCTGTCAGACGATCTGTGTCAACTGCTAACAGATTAAGGGGAAAAAGATTTACTGTCAGAATGACACCCATGCTACATCAAATGTCATGCACCGAGGACAGGATTATAAAAAACGCTGACCCATAAAGTATCATACAAGCCATTTATAGAAGAAAGACATCCGTGTAACTGGACGTTTTCACACGACAAACAGCAAACAGCTACAGCACAGACAGGCTGACTCAGCAGTGAGACAACAGCGAGTACGGAGGTTAAGAATATGTAACAGCTACGATTGTCTTGCCAGTCTGGGTGTAGTGCATCCAGTTCAGAATGACCTCAGGCGCCCTGTACCAACGGGTCACCACGTAGCCCGTCATCTCAGCATCAGCACCGCGAGCCAACCCGAAATCCAGGATCTGCATCAGAAGCAAAGAAACTGATACACAATCTGGAACCTCAACACTGTATATAACACATCTGTAAAGTTTAATTGTTTCATTTTTAATATAAAAGATATATTTTCATACAAAAATAACATGCTGTTTCCTGTACATTGCTAATTTTATAGTATATATCCTGTATTCTTTCTCTGTACTGGCGGAATGCTATTATTTTACTGCTGCAGCAGCCCATATTTAAGTTTTGTCATGTTTTTTTTGTGTAATCCTTCAAAGTACAAACCTTCAGTTCACAGTCTTGGTTCACAGCCAAGTTTCCAGGCTTAAGATCCTGTAAAGAAAATGAGCTGAGTGATGGTTACTCATTGCAAATAGTGATTAAACACAAATTATAGTGTCTGTACTCTGCGGCATCAAAACTGGGAAGTTATAGTCTCTCTGGCCGAACATGACTGAACTCAACCTCAGTGCTTGAATGCAGTGGGGATTTTAAACAGCGAATCAATGGTGGACTCAACTTTAAGCTGACCATAAGAGTCACTGCAGCATTTCTGCAGAGTCATTCATAAAATACTGTGACATAACGTGTGATAAGTGTGGCACTCTTAGTGAGTGTTGATAACACCTTAACTGTGCTAGGAATTACAACAGTAATGGCATGGTAACACTTTAACAGAGGACTGAGTGTGCACCACTATGTTTTCTACTGTCTAAACACACACACACACACAGTCAGCTGATCCCAAACATTTATTCAGAGCTCAATCCCCACACACTAATAGCTTAGTTAATAATTCGTATTATCGATTTAAAAAGGCTACATTGCCCAGTAAATGTGTGCACAAAGGGTTTGTAAATACACTATTTTCCTGCTTGGAAAAGAAATTTAAATAATGTTTTGTGTTATTTTAAGCAACATAAGTCAGTGTCACTGAAAAGTCCTTGGGTGTCCAAGATATAAAAAAGCCATTAATATCTGCCTAATATATAAGCGCTGTACTTTCCCTACTCCACACACACACTGAGTGCCTAGTGTTGGCACTGGTGCTGAAGGGTGTGGCCTAACATCTTTAGACATGCAGCTGGAGATCAGAGGCAACTAATCCTACCTGTTGGGGCAGAGTCTGATCTGACTCAATAACAATGACAAATTATATCAAAATTCCTATGTATTTCTGTTGTACAGGAGTGCTATCTGAGATGAAATAATGTGCAATACAAACGACTGCACACATTACAATTTCTTAGTAATCGTCTGAAACTGAAACTTAATGGTGGACCATGGGCCAAAAACAAACGCCTATTGTAATGTTAAGACACAAAATAGTACTAAGGTCCCTTTATTGATAAAGTTCCTGCGCCAAGTGTCACTCGCCCGCTACGCTCAGATTATGAAAAATAATTCATTCATTAGTAATCATACATTTTCAAAGAGCATTTTCACACATGACAAAAAAAAAGCAGCATAAACAGCGATTTATATTATTATTATTATAATTATTATTATTGTTTTGCTTTTATTAATTCTTCTCTTTTTTGCTAGAACATCTGGCGGGACAAATCAGACGTTATGGTAGACTAAACACTACCTAAGCTTTACCTAAGCTCTAATGTGAGCTCTCCACAGTGACATTTGACTTGTACTTACCCTGTGGATGATTCCAGCCTTGTGAATGTACTGCAGAAAGGGACAGACATTTTTATTGAAGTCAAGAGTTATGTATGATATATGGAATTTATTTATTGCATTTTGTGTTTTTTATATATATGCCATGTGTACAGTACATGATGGTTTGCTTTATGAGTTTTTCATATATGACATATAGCAAACAATCTATTAGTTATCCTTATAAGTTATTAGCTATTTGTATGTTTCATTCCTGTTTAACTTTTATTAACTGTCTACTGTTCTATAATTATATGAAATCCATTACGAGTTCATGTCATAAAGACTTATTTACACATACTCTTGACTCTCCACTGACCCTTCATTAAATGTATATGTATATAATCAAAGTCCATACAATTCTCTGTAATTATTGTAGCACATATTAAAACACAGTATAATTCTGGCATGGCTGTGTTACATGATCACCTTGGAATGTATTCAGTGGGGTTTTAATAAGTTATAATTATACTCCACTAATGTTCTCATGATGCTTCATGATAAACATTTGTAAAGGGCAGGCTTTCCCCAGCTCACCCTGAGTCCACAAAGCATCTGGTAGACAAGAAACTGGACTTTGTCTTCTGAGAGGTGACCTCGCACCTTGGACAGGTCAGTAAACATGTAAGGCATCACCAGGTAGCTGAGAAAAAGAGAGGGAGAGGGGCAAAGCGAGCAAGAGACGAATGGAAAGAGATGGACAATACGATTACCTACACACCAGACAAAGCTTTACTCAGTCAAGGTCACAACTAATGCACAACAGAAAGATTTGCTTTGCTGTCTGCTGTCATATTCCACACCCAGTTAGTGCTCTAATCCATGCCTTTTCATACGTAATTGAGGAGCTCAGGGTGCTTGTTTATGTTTATGTAACACTAATGTTTATACAACCTTCAGTATATGAATCCTCTTTGCTGTATCCTGTTAATGCTGCTGCAAAAGTCTAAATTTGCAGTTTAATGTATTCATCTTACCAGCACACTGAACTTAGTTAGAATAAATAATCATTAAATTAAAAATTAAAATAACCACTTATTTTCAATGTTGTGTTCTATAACTATTAAATAATTAAAGGACAGATACAATTAATTATTAATTATGTCTTATTTTCATGGATTAAAAAAATAATTCAGTTTTACTTCCTGTAAAGTTCTATTGTACTTTAGTGTTTACAGTACTTTGTGCTACATACATCAATATTCAACTAATAAAACTAATGCTTAAAGTTCTCTGATACACTGAGTGCAGAGCAGAGTTACAGTATTATAGTTTTGCATTTTTCAGTAGTTTTTTTTATTTCAGTTTAGCTTTAGTTAGTTTCCAAAGTGGGTTTGCTCATTTCAGTTAGTCAGTAGTTTTTCTTGTTTAAAAAATCTTTATTTTTATTTTTATTTTTATTAGTTTCAGTGTTAGTTTTATTTGATTTCATTTTTGTATTATTATAATATGGGGGGCATTTGTCAGGGGCAAGATTGAAGAAGAAGCTATTACAATACAAACACAGTGACTCACAGTCCCAGTCTCAACAAACCAGTGCCTCCTCAAGCTTGCTGTGTTGAGAAATGTGACCTTCGGTTCTTGCTTGATTTGTAGGTTTTGTGTCACTTTTTTATTGGCTATTGTTCACAGTGCACACTATAAGACACACAGTATGTGGACGCCCCTGTGGCTGTTATTCTCCACTTAAGTGATGTCTTAATGCTAAAGCTTTCAATCAGATGGCTGTCAACAGCATATTAATATCCATGGTTTTAGAATCCCATGTTCAACACTCACACATGGGTGTAATATTTAACTGTCCACATACTTTTGACCATATTGTGTATGATTTCAGAGTGGGCCTCTGTTTCATACATCTCCATACATTTTGGCCAATGCCCATACTGACTGTGAAAAGCAAATCCCAGTCTAGAGAGTTTAAGTTAAATATGGAGGCATGAAGCATATTAGACCATAGCAACCAGGTCAAACACAGTAACCTGATAGAAATAGGTCAGTCCTATCACTCTGTACATTGACCTATTGTTTAACCCCCTAAACACAAAGCAACCCTTGTTCTCAAGGGTTCTGCAGTCCTGTAGGCATGATGAATACTAAACCTGCAGATCATCAGAGGCGTTGCCTGTCTCTGCCTGAGGGCTTTGCTAATACGGTAAAAATACTCACAAGTCTTGAAAGTCATCGAAACACGAGGCAGGTGTAAACACATCAAGAAGTCCTATCACCTATTTGGAATGAAAGAGCACGGTGACGAATATAAAGGGCAAAAACTGCAGTCTGTTAAAGGAAACGGGAGATGTGTGTTGGGTTTAATGTGAAATACTCACATTTTCATGCTTCATGTGTTTGAGCAGTCGAAGCTCTCGGTAGGCCCTCTTAGCAAAGATCTCTGACTGGAAGGGCCTGTGGAGCTTCTTAATGGCCACTTTCTCTTTAGTCTTCTCATTTATTGTTGAGCTGTGTTGAATAATGGAATAACAGGCCATTAGCTTTGCACTCTGAGTCTGCATGTGTCTTCCAGTTTCACTATGATTTCCCTCTTTTGAAGTCAGAGCAGTGAAAAAAAGACATAACGGCCTCTTTTGAGGTTTCACTCTCGCTATGAAGTTCTGTATGGATGGAGGTACTGTATGTGAGACTCATTCTCTAACTGAATGGGGGGTCTGTGGTTTATTGATCGATGTAAATGTTTGGCAACTCGTGATGAGCATGTCTGCAGTGAACTGCAGGGCACCAAATCGTAGGAGGAAAGGCTTGTTAGACTATTTGGAGCCTCATCCACCAACACACATTATACGCACACTTGTGCACAGTGCTGTGGACACTAACGCACTAATTTGGGATATTAAAGTCCCTTTAGTCATTTTACAAAGATGAGAAACATCTACATTAAATACAGAATACCTTACACATACAGTAGTTATAAAACTATGTTTGCAGTTTCCCACAAGGTGGTTAATATGAGAGGTGCAATTTAATGGTTGTGGCTTGATCCCAGTTCATCAGATGCTGCGTCTTTTAAAGGTCAGACATTTTAAGCTTTCACAGACCACAACTCCCACACTATAATGCTTAAAACCCTGGTAACCATTTACTACCAGTTAGAAGGCCAATAGCAAGCACCAAAGTCTCCTATGATAAGTGTTCAAACCATTTCGATGTTTTTGCCTTCTCAAGGCTCTCACCTTGTTTAGACTAAATTTACTTTTTAGTCTTAGCTTTTATCTTCTTTACTGGATAGTAACAGCTGCAGAGTGACAGACAAGTGGAGAGAAAGAAAGGGTAAGGACTTAGCCTTTGTACATGGGGCGCACGCTCTACCAGGTGAGGCTACAAGGGTCCGCAGAGCTGTGCAGGGCTGTGCTGAGCCAGTTGTTAGTGGTACACTTGATCTAGATGAAGAGACTTCAAGCACGCGTAATGAATAGATAGATAGATAGATGGATAGAGTAGAGGTAGAGTAGATGAGCATTGATTTATCCCAAAATTCAATGGGATAAATAACGACGGGGTGTGATGTCAGGCAGCGTCTGTGCATTAAAATTACAGATAACACCAATTGTGGCGCTACAATTTACAAAAATGTATATGTTATAATATGGATGAATGGTAAATGGACTTTTCTGGAGTACCGACCACTCAACGCCCTCCCAGCACTTGTCACATTCACTCATTCACACACACATTCGTACACTGATGGCGGAGGCTGCCATGCGAGGTGCCAACCTGCTCATCAGGAGCCATACGGCGCTTCCTATCCAAAGTGCCCACGATGATACTAAGCTCACACGCATACACACTGATGGCACAGCCGTCGGGAGCAATTTGTGGTTCAGTAACTGGACTAGGCGGAGCTGGGAATTGAACCAGCGACATTCTCATTACTAGACAACATGGTCTACCATCTGAGCCACAGCCGATCGACGATATAATCAAATGTTGTACCTGCAGAGCACAGAATAAATAGAAGTAAAACAATACGATTTTTAAAAATGATGTCTGATCGTGATTGATTGAAGCGTGTTTGGTCTAGCACAGTAATGAGATGGAAGCACAGTGATGGCAGGGCAACATGTCATGTACTCTGTAATATTTAATGACGTGAAAAGGAGTTTATGTTCTTTATACACTATACTTTATACACATTTTACACATGTTGAGACTGATTCTGATATATTTCAGAATAAATATCTATAATAAAATTAAAAAAAATAAAAGTGATTCTTTATTCACAGTATTAGTATTCTTAGAAAAATGTAAATCAAAAGATAGATTTATAAATAAATAAAAACTATAAAAATTAATTATTTTTTTTTTTTAATTAATTAAAAAAAATCTAGTTAGTGCTCATAAAAATGTCTACAGTTGGTGGGGTCAACAGCAGCCTTGTATGTATGACAGTTGTGATTGTACGAGAACACCTGCTCTCTAAATATCGGCTACAGCCATTGAAAAGCCTATATCAGTCGACCACTAGTGTGATATTAACATTGGAATTTTCTGAATAGCCTTTTTAATTTTTTACCTTTAATGATGTGACATCACCAATAAATCATAATATATCATATATTATATCACAAACATAATATATTACAAAATATATGTTTCACCAAACTTTCACGCATTGTTGACCTAACCACTTATTTTACTCATATAGCCAGCTGGATGAACAACATAGTACCTGTAAATCAATAATGTTGATTATGTCAACTTACTGAATGTCACAACAGCAACAACATCATATTGCCAGTGAAAGCTGTGTTTCCCTATTACTTAAAATCATCATCTCATTACATTTCTGTACCATGTGTGTTACCACATATACATGCATGTAGATATACAATAAGTCCAACCATACAATGGTACATATCTACCTAAAGACAAACATGTGCATAGGTATTATGCAGTGTGCACATGCTGTGTTTCTGTGGCTTCCACAGTGTATTACTGTACCTTGTATATAACTGCATGTGTAAATCAAAGTGGAAAGTAGCCATCTTTAATAGTGAGATTCTGAAACAGCTACACCTCCTCTATCTTTATGCAGGTAAATACATAAAAGGTATGCGTTATGGGATATGTAGTCTTCTTGCTAACACACCACACATGCTGTTAGGATGTCTTACAGGGCTTCAGGTGTTATAACTTATTAACATGAGTTACTAGCTGTGTCTTCAATGTTGGTGTACACTACAAGACATAAGCCAGGCCCACTGCAGGCTGCATGCAGCCAGTGTAGCTAACATTAATGGGTGTTGGGCTCAGACTAAACAATATGCATACACAGTCCAGTCCCAACTACGACACACACTTCAAGCAGGGTTCAGTAAATGACAAATCACTCACCACACCGAGCCGTACGCCCCGGTCCCTATCTGTTTGAGTCGTGTGTATTTCTCCGGGACTTCCCACACCGTGCTGTTGATTTCCTCCCGGGAGAAATGTGCTTGAACCTCCATGATGAAGAGGAAAGGCGAAGCTAGAAAAAAAAAAACTTCTCCCGTAACGTTACGCCTGTCACTTCTTCAGGAGGTAAAGCAAAACACTGCTCAAGTACGAGGCAATAGACCACACACCGTACTTCCGTCAGGGCCTTTCACAATAATGTTTGTTAGACTGTGTGGGAGGGGAAAACAAACCGCTAGCTAACGTCCACAGAAACAGACTGGAAATATATAACGTTAGTCTGAACTAAACTGACTCATACTGACTGTATGTGATTTATTAGTGAGCCTTTGTTATCTTATGCCTCCGTTAATGTCAAATAATAGTGAATAGATGCTCTAAAAATGGCTTTATAAGGCATGTAAAAAACTAACTCTACAAGCAAAGAAGACTTTCAGTTGTTTTCTTTTAAACATAGTATTCTCGTTTGTCTTTTCATTTGACTCCCATTTTAAAAGCTAAATAGGCCTATATTTTCAGTCTTCACGAAAACAACTTTATTTTGAAGGCAGAATCACCAGAGTTCCGGTGTAAACCTGACTGTCTCCGGTGGGCTTGACTCGGTACCACACAGTATTATGCTGCCAGTGAGCTACAGTCACTCTATTTTAGTAGATAACACGTTAAGTAGCCTGGAGGACTACTTAACATGTAACCTCATGTAGTCTTCACTGTGCACAAAAACATTTCCCCTTTAAAAGCCTCATCCACCGTGTGGAAAACAACCAAATGATGTAAACACTATACAAATCAAGAGCTCTTCAGTGTGAGAAAATCAGACGGCTTGCTTGCTGAAACATGTCAATATGACTCGATTTGCTCCCACCCACACATAGTAGGTGTTACTTGTCATGAATAATTACTGTACATCGCCAGAAGTTTATGAATCATGGCAGCCTACAGCAGGGCATTCACACTTACAGGCATGGACAAAAACATGTAAGCTATGCCTGAAATTTTTGATTTTGCACACAAATAGGCTTATAGTCTATTAGTCTCATATATGATCCCTAACTGCGAACCTTTATTTTCTGAGTTGTTAGTGCTATGACATGAACAAACACTAGCCTAGATTTAAAAAGGAAAAGAAAGAATAATGTTATTCCTGGACTGTATTTAAATGTATTAAAGAGAACAGCTCTCTCCCAAAGCCTGAAAAACCAGAAGTTCAGCACTGAATGCTACAGTGTCCTCAAAATACAAAACCTGGAACTGCTCTGTTGGTGGTTTATAAAAGACTAACCTTGTCAATTCAATGCCAGTATGTTTATTTCCATCTGAATGGGTTTCCTGCTTTCTGTCACTGATAGTAACCTCGGTTCTTAGAACTGTACTTTACCTCATCTTCCAGTGAATTTAGAAAAGATCAGATTTCTGTGGAGCTGCTGTGAATATATATAGTATGTAATAATAGACTCCATATTAACTGTTGAATTTCAGCAGTTTTTTCTGCTAAGAGTAAATCTGTAGATCTTAAACTTAAAAAAACACAATAGTGCAAAGATGGTGCATATAAAATCTTAATAAACAATTATAAAGAAAAAAAAGAGCAAATTAAACCTTAAATAAGTATTCAGTAGTATTCACCTAAATACCTGAGTTAATGTCAGCTCTCGGGGTCAGCATTTTAAACAAAAAAAGGGATGAGGTGACTGTTTTTAAGTGGGCAATAAGTAAGATTTTTACTGCTGGATGGCACAAAATGCCCACAGTATATGTGTGGAGGTTGAAAGGGTTATAGATCAATACCAGTGACTCAGCCATTACTTGGCCAGCTGCTCTACCTTCTGGGTTTCAAAACTCACTTTTCATCCTGTATTCTGTTTAGAAGAGAAAACATCCCACCTACTGGAGTCTCAATACCTAATCTAAACCAGCCTCTGTTTAGTCAAGTGATTAGCAAAGTGGGCTAGAATTAAGGAGTTTGAAACTGTAGCATCCATGTGACCAAGCAGTGTATTTTCCTCTCACATTTATTGCAGAGATTATGCCAGAGAGTTAAATTAGTATGCAGGACTCTCAAGAGTGCACGTCTGGTAACAGGATGGTGATGTGTGACCAAGGTCAGGACCTCCTTTTCACTTTGCACTTGGACTTGACATGAGTTGTGGTCATGCAGGTAAGACAACATCTAAAGTCATGTTTTTCCTACACTAAATTCTTTAATTCATCTCTCTCAATCCTTTAAAAGCTTTCTCAGTACGATGAAGGTGACTTTAAGGTCCAGTGTGTAGGATTTAATGAAATGTAGTGGTGTAGAACTCCCTCACTTCACTCTTCCATCCAAAGCACGAAGGAGAAACTACTGTGAGAAAAAACGTGAACGTCCCTCTCTAGAGTCAGAGTTTGGTTTGTAAACTCTGGGCTACTGTAGGAACATGGTGGTTCAACATACTCCATGGAAGGCGAACTGCAGCATCTGCAGATATAAACAGCTCATTCTAGGGTAACAAAAACATGACAAATCCTATATTCAGGTGATTATACACTAATGAAAACATAGTTATGAATATTATATTCCATTACTGTCAATAGATCCACACTGGACCTTTAAAAATGGGTAAGGAACAGAACTTATTTTGGCTTGTTTGAAAAAACATGTTCCAGGAAAGATATATATATTAACAATTGGGTAAAACTATACAGTACGGTACACAAAACTGTAAGTAGTTACTAAGGAACGAATCGTGGAACAACCTGATAATGAATAAGCATTTAATGAATAACTAAATGGAGAATTATATGGTAGATGATTTACTGGAGAACTGACTAGGACATACTATAAATGAATAATCAGGTAATGATTACTTTGTATAATATCTGTGATTTGACATACTGACCACTTTCTTCATGAGTCGTTCCTGATTGACTCTGAACCAGCTGCTGAGCGGTGCAAAACAACAATCAACAAAAAAAAAAAAAAACACATCAACAACTAATTATTTAATCATTAGTTACTTTTTTGTGCCCTCTCAAGTTAAGTGATACATTTTACTAACTAGGTCATCCCTTATTACTTGTCGATTCTGACAAGTGTCTACAGAAACTTTAAATTCACCAGTAAAAACTCTTCTGCATTATTGAGCGTCCTGCTTCTGAAACCTTCAGTGAAGGTAACACTCTCCCAATCTATATGCCCTTTGATGATGAGGAAGTGCAGGTTGTTTTTGGTGTTGATGAAAGTGTAGGCATTCCATCATATCACCTGAAAGAAGAATAGACTAATGATAGGGATAGCTGGCTGACTGGACCCGACATGTGCCATGCTTGGCTGATGTTCAGTGGGCTTCATGTAGATAGGAGGATCCAAGGATGAAAAATATCAACCCTCAAATGAACCCAAACTATGGGGTGCCGTTTGTAAAG